CCCGGTGCGGGCTGCCTCCCCCGCCTCGTCTGGCCGGACGCGGCTCGCCGCGGGCTCGCTCGGGGCTGAGGCCACCCAGCCTCGCGGCGTCTGCAGGTTCTGCGGCCTTCGCCTGGGGCGGGGTTCGCACGCGGGGGGGTTTACGGCTCGCTGGACGCCGCTCGGGCGCCCGCGGCGGCGGGCGGACTCGGCGCGGGGACGCTGGTGACCCCTCGGAGTGCAGACTCGGCACACGTTGTCCTTGTGCCTCAGTGTCTGCGTGCACCACGAAGCTGTAATTGCAGTTGCCTCGCAGGGCGCTCGTGTGGGAGCTCTTTGCCACCTGGCAGGTGTGAGTGCCCGCGGATGCTGCCATCAGGGCATTTCCAAGCCCATTTTCAGGACGATGAAAACACATGATTCGATGGTACCTGCCATCAGGGCATTTCCAAGCCCGAGGCATTTTCAGGACTATGAAAACACGTGGCCACCTGGCAGGTGTGAGTGCCCGCGGATGCTGCCATCAGGGCATTTTGATGGTATCACTGTATCTTAGAACTCTGCTCCAGTAGTTTTGGTGCACGTTAGAGCCTTTAAAAATTAAAAACAAAACTTAGCGTTTATAAAAGGGAATACCGAGACTGGAGAACTAAATCGATTCTACTGGCACAAATGTTAAAAAACAGCACTGACTTGCCTTTTTGCTTGGAATATTAGCTACTTTCAGATGAGGGTAGATTTTTTTTCCCCATAATTGAGAATACATCATTTGCCCTCTAATTTTTTCAATTCCAAAATATCTGTGTTTGTTTTATTAAAGGTTTTTCATCTTGCTAAGTATTGAGAAGTTCATAAAACCCTAAATGCCCTTATTTACCTTTCATCTAAAATAACGTGCAACAGTTCGTTCAACAGGTCAATAACATATTTACTGAATACCTGCTGTGTCCGGGACCCTGTGAGTAAGATAGCTGCTGTGGCTATAAAGTTTAGAGACTGCTGGAAGCAGCTGAATAAGCAAAGCAGTTAAATGATCAAACAAGTCAGACGCTGATAATTGTAATGTGATAAATGCTAGCGGAAGAAAAAGTACAGTGGATATGAGAATATATAATGGAGAATAGCTGTGCTACTGCTTTCTAGTTTGGTAGCTGGGAAAAGAAAGTCCTTATTTTAAAGCCACCTTTCTTTATTTTGTTAATTACGTTTAGAATGGTCAGAAACTACATGCAATGTAGTATCAGTAAACCATTCATTACATGTGTGCTAATATTTCAAAACTTGAAGGTCACCTTTTCTAGCCAAAAAGACTTTTTGGAAAGAAACTGACACCTGAACACAGATCAAAGTTTGGATTTTTATCTTTTGAGGTATCTTTTTTGCATGAGAAATGCCTTAATTTTCTTGAACAGTGAAATGTTCTTTTAGACCACTTTACTTTGAAAACCTGACACCCTTTACCATTCCGTTAGTAGCCGTCACAGTTTAGTCGATGGCTATCTTACACACACGGGCGTGACATGTTTTTTTTGACTGACCTGTTCAGTTTAGACTGGCATGACAATTTTCAGGCAGCTTCGTCAATTCCTGAGGTTTCTGGGGGTAGCTGTGACGTCGTGGGTGTTCCAGAGGCCGTGGGCTGGCGGGCTGCTGGACACGCCGCGCATTGAGGGGCGCCGGGTGCGGAGTAGCTGCGCACACTGCGGTCAGGCGC